TGAGGCTTTTAGGAAGTAATTATGGCTAGATGTTAAAATGTTTGTGGGGTCCTGTTAATGGGCTTAGCAGTTATACAAAATGAGAAGGATAGATTCTTTTCTTTCTCTGCCTGTGCTGAACACAGATCAGTTGGGGATGCACTAGAAGCAATATGCTCCCAAGCTAAGAAGAAAAGCATACTTGGCTCCAAGTCTGTTATCATTCTGACCTTGGACTTCTCAGCATCTGTGAGAAATAATTTCTTTTTGATATTTCAGCCATCTAAACTACGCTAATTTTTTTTCTTTACCAGGTGGGATTAAAACATTTTCCTTTACTTTTGTCATTCTAGAATCTTGTCTAAGGCAAAGGAATTGATTGAGCAAATACAGCATTTTTTTAAAAACTACTTCCATCACATTTTATTATTATTTTTTTGCAAGCAAACCATGAAAGACACTTCAGCCCCACCCTGTGTCTCTGCCATTCAAATGCATGGAGCAAATCTTAAGAAATGCTGTGTACCATGAGCTGCAGGAGATGACAACTTGTACTTTGGTAAGCTCCTAGGTTATTCCATGTTCAATGCTTTCTGCACTCTGAGGCTTTTATTCTTTTCTACCTCCGATGACTGAATCTTTTATCTAATGGAGTGTTAAGCTTGTAACTGAGAAGTGAACTGAAAGCATGCCATGGTAAAAACTCATGGATAAAGAAAAAGAAAAAGCAGGGAAGAGGGTTTTTTTTTAATATGATTTTTCAGTGGTGGTGAAAACAGTTACCAAGATCTTTAGTCTCTTTAAACTTTTAAGTGTACAGTGCATCTTATTGTTATGGATAATACAAAGTTGTGTGGATTTCTACACGTTTTCATCTCACATTAATGAAACTTAAAACATCCACTCCTTTCACAATAGAGATAACATCATAATAAAAATGAAAACATTTCTGTAAAATAAACGCATAGTGGCCTGAGTCCCTTCCCTTCAAGGAAACTTGAACTCAGTAATTGGCATTGCCATACTATAAATGCCAAGAAGCTCTATCATAGTTTAACACATGAGTGTTCTTACTTGCAAATAGATATTGACATTACATAAAAGCAAAGGAGCATTTCTGAGTTTTCCATTTACTTTATTTAGCATTAAACATATATAAATCCATTTAGCCATGAGTAATTTAAAATGTGGCTGTTTGAATACAGCAAGCTGATTAATAGCACAGGTTTCAAAGTCCTGCACACAAAGGTTGCACTCTTACTCAACTGTTGTGACTAAGGAAAATTTGTAGCAGCTAATTTCCCCATACACTGAGGACACTTTGAGGCAGTAGATTGTAAAGGGGGTCAACGGATGCGTGAATGCTCGTCACATCATAGCAGTTACTCAATAAAAGGTAGCTTCTATAGGCATTATCACCTGTATCTGCTTCATTTGTAGTAATGTTGGAGAGCATCATGCATATGACAGACTTTGCCAACAGGGCTTGAAGCGAAGTAGACTTAAACGGTTTTCAGTAGGGAAAGGATTCACTAGCCCTTAGTGGAAGAGATACCAGGCATGCTGTCTAAAATTTTTCTCTGTCCAAAGAACTTAGATAAGTATACAAGACTACAGTTATGCAGCAGTTCTTTTAACTTGGGGGTAGCAGTGGAATTTGGAAGGCTCTTGGATTTGACTAGACAGGGAAGATAGAAAGGAGTGTAGAATAGATGAACTCTGTGATGTTGCTTGCTTTTCTTGTTTAGTGGTAGCAATTTTTCTCCCTAAAGCCAAATATGAGAAAAGAAGTGAAGAGGTATGGCTCCTCCTCCAGGACTTTTCCATAGCCAGGAACACAAGCGAATCCAAACATCACTGAGCAGTTTCCATTTCTGTAAGGGTACGAAGTGAAGGTTTCCTTGAAGAGTCCATAAATCTACAGATTGTTCACTTTGTAGGAGCTTGAATGGCAAGATTAGGCTCCTGAACATCGCTGCCGCCTACACACCCTCACAACAGAAAGTGTAGGCAATTTAAGAACAAATACAAATGAAAAAAAAAACGTCCTCTGTGGCTGGGGCATTTTTTTAAAACAAGATTCCCATCGTTGAGTAGGGCATCTGTCATTTATTAAATTAAATGAATGTGTAAATGAGCAGTGCTTGTTTATTTTCGTTTTATTAGTAAACAGTGGTTCTATCAGCAGCGTCATAAAGGCATTTCAAGATTGGTCTTTTTTGGAGAGGAGGCTCTTCTGTGAGCTTTTTCTTTTACCAAGTAGGTCTCTCACCTACAATTCCTGTCTTATAGTCTGCCAGAGTATATTACTGTTGATAAATCTATGTAATCAGAAATCATAGCACCTTTTTTTTTGGAATGGTTTATCATACTTTTTGGTCATGTATTCATTAGGAGTAAGATTTAGAACTCGAAGAAGCATCAGACCTTGTAGTCACCAACAATGTATGGATTAACATCAGGCTCCAGCACACTGCTGAAGACTTGCCACTTGAAGCTCTACAAAAAGTCAGTTTACAAGAAACATGTCAAGGATCCTGTGCCTGGCTCAACAGGCTAACACTCCACCGTCAAGCGCCGGCATACCAAAAGGGGTATGGTTCATTTCCTGGCTGCTCCATTTTCCATCCAGCTCCCTAATTATGGCCTGGGAAAGCAGGAGAAGGCTTAGGATCTTGCACCCCTGTGGGAGAACAGAGGAAGCTCCAGCCTCCTGGCTTCCAGCGGTTACAGCCATTTGGGGAGTGAAACAGAAGATGGAAGCTTTCTCTCTGTCTCTCCTTTCTGTAAATCTTTCTAACTTAAATTAAATCTTAAAAAAAAAAAGTATCTCGGGAGAGAGACCAATCCTAAAAAAAAAATCCGCTTCTGGCAAACTCATACATATGGAAATAAAATGCCTCTTTATCGTTTAGCATCTCACCACCACATTCATAATTCATTTTTTCTTCATATAATCTCTGCGATTTAGCTTCAAGCTTGTTCCTTAATTCTTCCCAGAGGAAGGCAGAACGTTGGACCTGAGCCCCGGACTTCCTTCTGGTGAGTCCAATAACAACCTTGTGCCGCAGAGCAAGTTCCCGGGAAGGCGTTGCCAGAGATCAGCCCGCTTCAGCAGGCAGCCTTGGGAGCCGCCGCTCCTGACACCAACAGTCCCTCCCGTGCAGTGCTTCTGGTGACGCAGGTATGCACAGAATCCAAAACAGGTTCACCCCTGAAATTCAGACTGGAACCTGCAGTTACTGCTCCGCAGCCCCCGGAACCTGCCACGCTCACCTGGGAAGGCTCCAGATGCATTCAAGGACGGTGGGAAGCGTCGCAAGATGTCCCGCCAAAGCTAGTTTCACCGGTTGCCCGAAATCCTCGTTTTGTTCTACTTTTGTGACCCACAACTCGATCTACAGGAACCCTGCTGGATTCCTGGCAGTCAGCTGTGTTCCAATTTGAAGAGGACCACACGGTGCCCCCGCTTTAGGAGAGCTGCTACCAGGAATGGAGATTCTGAAACAGTGGTGCGCGCCGGAGCACAGGAACATAGTTCCATCCTCACACTGCACAACTTTGTAGGTTCTGCCGGTGAGTCGCAAGCGGTAGAGCTGTGCAAAGTCCCTTTTAGGAGAAATTGTCCCGCACTTGGGAAGGCAGTGCAACTCGTCGGCCTCGTGCTGCTGTAGAGACTGCTCAGAGCATGCAAGTCAAACATCAAGGGGCAAAAGTTTACTTTCCGGGCGCAATTAAGTCCAGTCCGCGGAGCGACTTCTGCTGGAAATGTTTCAGTTTGGGGAGCTTTTAGAGAACTGAGTTTCTACGGCAAGCGGCTCCCTAGCTGTTAGGTACCCAGTGAGTAATGCTTTCCAGCCATCAAACCAAGAAAGAAGTTGGGACTCGAGCTAGACAAAGACGCCAGTTACCTCAGGTGCAAAACCTTGGAAATGGCTGCTTCCAGGGGCCGGGTCTCCAGAACACAAATCCCTCCCCTTTCCCCAGCAAAACCATTCACCTGCTACCGTCCAGTGTGCAATATAAGCGTAGTCTCTAAATTTTCCCAATTCTCTAAGCTAGTCGCTACAAATCCCCTGGCAGAGTCTTTCCAACGCATCTCATTGAGTTTGAGGAGTTCATTGAAGGGGATGGCAGGCCAGGACGTGGGCAGAAATGATGGAATGAGGTGGGATCATATCCAGCAAACGCTGTGTTCAGCAAAGGCTCCTCTATTCGAAGGACCTCGGGGAGCCCCTCAATTCCCCCTGGGAGCTGCAGGCGCCACAAACCCACCACGGGGTCTGGAGGGGTGTGTGGAGGGGGAGAGGTTGGGGACTGGGTTAACCAGCCGTCCAGGGAGCCACCGCAGCGTTTGGGAAGAGCAGCCGAAAGATTTAGCAGACTGGGTAGAGACCGGGGAGTGGCCGGGAAGGGATTCGGGTTTTGCAAGGAACAACTGTCTGCTAACTAGTGGGGAGTGCTGGGGTCTCCCGGTTATCCACGTCCCGGAAAGCCCTCCTCACCCCTGTTCGCTAGTCCCTCCGGCCAGTGGCCTGGGGCGGCTGGCGCTGGGCTGGGCGTGCGCAGGAGCCTGCGCGCGCGCGCGGGTGTGTGCGCGCGTGTGTGCGCAGCCCGTGCGCCGAGCGCGGCCGCGGGGACCCGGTGCCCGCCGCGCGCTGTCCGCCCGCCGTCCCTCCTCCGCGGCAGCCGGCTCCTCCTCAGCTCCCTCAGCGGGCGCTCGCCCGGCCCGGCTCGGCCGCCGCCGCCGCCGTTGCCCCCGCCAGCAAAGTTTCCTCAGCGCACACGGCTCGGTGCCGAGACAATCCAGGGAGACCGGGGTCCTCAAGCTGCGCCTTTGAGTGGTTTTTCTCACAGCACTTCTTCCGCCTCATTCCCACCTGATTCGAGGGAGACAGCACCTTTTCCAAATTGAGGAGAGAGAAGGAAGGGTATTGTTAAACCAGAGAGAAAGCCCGAGCGACTGCAGTTGAGAGCGCCGGCTTCTCGCTCGCCTGACGCACGGGAATTGGCTGCACTAAATAGGCCGCCAAGTTGGCTGAGGTGGGGCCGAGCAGCTACGTGTGCCGGCAAGCTTCGCCCCCTATCCAGCGGCTTGGGCTTGGAAAGGCGCTTGGAGAAGCCGACGCGGCGGGGGCGTTGGACCGCCTCCTGCCCCACGCCCCTCGGGTCCCTTTGGAAGGGAAATCTGGACCCGGCGCGCAGCAGCCTCGGCTTCGGATGTTAATAAGGACAGGAAGAATCGACAGCGCCTCAAGGTAAGAGACGGCCAAACCGACGCTTGAATTGCCAGAGAGCACAACTTGAAATGCATGTTGGGGATGGGCTAGGGGCTTGAGCCAAGTTGGGAGGGTCGCTCGCAGCGTGGCCGCGCGGCTGCCTAACCCGCGCGTCCGGCTCGGGGCGGGTGGCCGGGGAGTCGCCTCTGCTGCTGCTTGCTGCTGCTGCTGCTGCTGCTGCTGCTGCTGCTTGCTGCCCGGTTGAGAGACTGGAAGCCGGAGACGGTGTCATGTCCTTAGACTTTTGGGAACCTATTGGAAATAGGCGTCTTAGCGGGTCCTCTGGCCAGGGTGATATACCCAGTGGATTTTATTTATTTATTTGTTTAAATGGCGAGATTTTTTTTTTCCCCCTCATTGGCACCGCAGACCCACCCCCTCGTCGCCGTAGAGCTGTGAATACCGGTGTACGCGTCTAGGACGCGGTGGCAGGTGGGCCGGCGGGCGCAGGTGGGCAGGTGGGCCGGCGCGCGCATCCGGCCCGTGCCTTGGGGGCCGCGCGGAGCCCACGCCGCCGCCTGGCCGGCTCCCTGCAGCCGGCGTCGGAGCAGCCCCGGCCGCGCTCGGCTGCGCTCCCGTTCGCCTCCGCTAGAGGTTCCCAGCGGGCGCCGCGGAGCGGTGGGTGTGCGGGTGTGGGAGGCGACGGGGCGAGCGCGGGGAGGGAGCCTGCCCGCGGGGTGGCCGAGCCCGGCTGGGTCCGGGGACGCGAGTCCCGGTGCGCGTCCTGGCTCGCGCTTCGCCTCGGGGACCGCGGGTCCGACTGCTAGCTGAGCTCCGGAGAGCGCTGCCCGGAGCTGGAGCCACTTCGGGAAGGCGATCCTGGTCCGAGCCCTAGAGGCATCCCTGGGAGGTAATGCCCCCTTTCGCCCCACCTAGTCCCTTGGTTTCCCGGGATTTCCATTCAGGTGAGAAGGAGCGAAGGGTGCAAAGGAGTCTACAGACTGTACGTGGAAAGGTGCCTTTCGGTCTCCTCGAGGCTCCAGGAAAGGTGTATTCGAACTAATCTCTTAATTTCGTCCGCCTTGCCTGGATATTTGCATGCTCTAACGGAAGTTTTCTGTGCAGAGCCCCCGGGTGGCTGGTCTGGGCCGGGTTGCTCCGGAGCTGGAGGGGACCTGCTGTGCCCTTTCTGAGCCGCAGTGAACAGGAGTACCAGACTCCAGGGATGGGGTGTGGTGGAGAAAAAGAACACCACACCCTCTCCGTTTCTTCCCTTCTGCTTCACCTGATGAAGTGTCCCCATTCAGCATTTTACAGATATCCTTTTACTGATTCACTCTGAGCACAGCAAAGCTTGAGAGAGAGAGAGAGAGAGAGCAAGAGCGAGAGAGAGAGCCAGAGAGAGAGGCCAAATGAAGGAAGTCATGGCTGGAACATCATGGGAGGGAGGGTGAACTTCAGCCTGTGTGTTGGAGGTGGGGAGGATGGAGTGCTGGGAAATGGCCTTGGAGTTCAGATTATTTGAAGTCAGATCCATTTCATATTTCACACTGTCTTTGACATAATCCAGTTTACTCAAGCCAGTAACAAATACCTCTGCTAGATACTGCCTTGGGCACGGTGGGCCCTGAATATGAATGATGGTTGTGCTTTAGTCCGAAGAGAGGAAATTTGAAAATGAAGGGGAGGGGTATGTGTACCGTGTGCTCTTGGTGCGGTTGCCCTGTGCCTGTCATGCAGCTGACAATGTATATTTTTCAGTGTCATGTGGTGGGTTCCTGGCAACATTTGTGGTCATTTTGTACTCTAATGCGATTTTAGGATCTTCTAAAGGTGGCTGTTATTAACAGCAACGACGTGTGCTATTGAGCTTCATGCAGAAAAATACTAAAAGAAGAAAAAAAATATGCCGGGGCATGGAATTTACTAGGAAGATTGAATAAAAGCCGAGACCCAGCTTTTGTGAAATAGTGGGTCACCTGCTGAAGGAGTTAATTTTTTTTCCCGGTAATGGGAAGCAGTGGTTAACATTTTAAAAGAGGGAGCTGTGCCTTAGCACTCTACCAGCTCATCTTGTAGTGCGCATTACTTCTAATACACTTGGAGTAGGAGGGAGAAAAAAAATGAGCACTTCCTGCTGAAAGCCAGTAAAATCTTTTGTGAGATACTGCCAAGTATCTCACTTGTCGAATTTAAATAGAATTGATTGACTATTGATGATGGCTGAAGTGCTTTGGTTATCGTGTAACGAGGAAGACATCTACTATTTACCTTATCGATGGAAGGAAATATATGTTAATGTTTTGGTATAACAGTGTAATTTAGTGAAAATGCAATCAGAACAGTTTATTGGTTTTTATCCCTAATAACACATAAAATCACCTCAAAGAAGATTTATATAAAGTTTCTCACGTATGTTCTTGCATTGAGCGGAGCTCTCAGTGGAAAGAAAAGATAAATATCTTGCTGAAGTCCCCCAAAAGATGGTTTCTGTTCTTAAGCAATTTTAGAAATTTTTTGGTTGTGAAAGCTGATTGTTATTCAGATAAGTCGAGTTGTACGTATAGGCACAAATAACTTATTTATTGAACTCACAAAGACAAATACATTTTAAGCACTCGAATGTCTTGCTGAAAGACAGCTGTTCAATCAAAGAGCTGCCTGTGTTAGGAATGCGTGCACAGGATGCTTGCCGTGACTGTGTTTCTTCATGTTCAGTTGAATTAGACTAGTGAAGCTGGTTTGTAACCTCAAACGCAGGTTTCAGGCTGCATCCCTGAATGTTTTTTTCATCCTTAATAAACATGATCTTTAAGAGATCAAACCTTGAAAGGCTCCAGGGCTGCTGTGGACCTGAAAACCGTTTGAGTCCTTAAAAGCTTCCTGTCCAGAATAGAAAGTGATAGGAGGCTGTCACAAATTAATTGGTTTGATGCTTCAATTAAAAACTGATTATTATCTGCCTCTGCTAGTCATTATGGTTGATTTCATTTGGTCTCCAGACATTCTGGGGAGGAACTCTAGGTGGAAATGTTCTCCTGTAGTACAAGGAGAGGGGGTCAGCAGATGCCAACAGGCTTGGCAGTCACTGATTCTCCCCTTTGGATGCATTTTATTCATAATGTAGCACGTTAGATTAAAATGAGAAGTTTCTGCAACACAAAGCTAGTGCCCTCTTTGTCATAGCCCTCAGCTAGGCACTGGGTACTCAGTTTATAATTTCTATGCTGAAATATGTCTGTAAGTCACTTCCCATTGGACTAGTTTGCTGATAAGAACTAGAAGACCTGTTTAGCACAAAAGCTGGTATTTCCCAAAGAGCATGCATTGTGCTTTAGGGTACATGTGATTTAGGAAAAGTGAGGAGAATGTGAGAGACAGGTTCAGTCTCTGGAATCAGACTTAGGCACCTGAATGCTCCTTGGTGATTCCTTCCTTCAGCCGTGCTGTTTGCTGTGTTATGATTGGAATCTCCCTGCTCCTTTATTTCCTTCCATTCTTTCTTTGTTCTTTTCTTTCATCCTTGCCTCCTTCTGTCTTTCTCTTTTTGGTTAAACTGTTTTCTTCAAAATGGAATACAGGCTAATTTATAGTTATTTCTTAGTTGTCAACCATAATTTATTGTTAAATAGGATATAGTCTTACAGTGTTAACATTATTATGTTTGTTCTTGAAATTTTTAATACAAAAAAAAAATGCCCAGTAGAATGAGTTTGAATTTTGGGGGAGTCATCAGGTGATCCTTGTTTTCTGGACTGTGGGTTTCTCTGGAGTCTGGCTGCAGTGGCTCTGGCCTTTGTTTCTCTGAAGCATGAAGAATGGATATTTGGTTGCTGGAGAACATGAGTTGCCTTTGAACATGGTTATTTGCATGAAGTTAATGTCCTCTCATTGTGCAGAATGGCCAATGTAGTCAAGTTAAAATGTTCATTTTAAGCAAATAGTTGAGTCAGTAGTCAAGGAAAACTTCATAAATTAATAATTCATTTCAGGAAACTGTCATACATTCCAAATCATCACACATTCCAAACTATTTTTAAATGCTATATTTTTTAAAGTGATGTCTTTCCACAAACCTTACTACTAAAGCATTCTTCAATATCTTTGAAAGAAAAGTCTTGGTTTCAAAATCTCCCAAGAGAGTCTAAGTTCTTGTCATACTGAGTAAGTAGAAAAAATGCTGGATTTGACATTGGAAGACTGTAGTTCCACTTGCGTTTCTTTCTAGTGGCATTGTTAGTATGAATAGCTGCCTTATGATTCTAAGCATTTGTATTTCCTCACTCTGCTCTTTTGTTTAAAACTTAATCAGATTTAGAATCATCTTTGGGAAAAAAAAATCACCTTTGGAAAAGGGAAACAAAATTTTCAGATGTGTTTTAACTCTCAGGCATTGTGTGATTTTCTACAAGAAACAAACACATGTTAGAGTACAAGTAAAACTTCCATATTGGCACAGATTAAGTGCTATAGGAAAATCAGAAAAGGCTCATTGTGTGGGACAGTGAAGTTTGTGTTGAAATTTGAACTGTTCCTCAGCAGTTGTGTTGACAAATTAGAGGTAAAAGAACAGAGCAAAATATGTGTTGATAGCAAAGTTTTAGTGTAATCCCTGGTTTTAAAGGAATTCCATATTTTTCTTCTTGTGTGTGCTCACAATGACAGATAAACCACTCTTGTTTTTGGTTGCACAGTTTCTATGATTTCTTTGCAGAGATGTGCTATGAAATGTTGACTCAGTGGTTTGGTCTGTGAAGTTGAACACAAACCTAATGCGGTGTTTTAGTCTTTACACTAGGTGTTACCCGGGAACACTGATAGTCCATTTATCTTACTTTATTTTAGTGGCTTATATTAGCTGTAAGTTATTTTCATCACTAAATTAGAAGGAAACTAAATGGTAGATGTTAAATGACTCATGGTTTCGGATAAAATTTTAAAAGCTTCATTGAAAGAATTATGTGCTCTTTTGAGAAAATATGAAGCCCGCTAACATTTGAGATTAGAATAAATTTTGTTGCTTTTGTAAATGTACTCCC